TGTTTGAATGTTATATGGTAGTGAAATTACAGGGTATGGAGGCATATCACTATAGCTCTTAGGAATGGCAATGTATAAGTGGTACCATGAACATCAAAATATATCAGTATTCTCCATCGATTCATGTCTATAGGTGATGGTTACCTCACCACTTTGCACCAGGTAGACCATCAGTTTATTTCATCAGCATCAGCAGTCATAAAAAAACAAATGTAAAATGAAATATTATTATCACTGCTTATTTTATTGCTTTGTTCCCATAGAATTAAGAAGCTAAAATATCCCCCTTTTTTATTTGGAAATCTCATTAAATCAGCGGTCGTGAGAATTTTAGAGACATGGCATTCTTTACTAACTAATCTAATAGTTTTGACTTTTATTATTTTTGTGAAAATAGTGTTATTTATATGTATATGTGTATATAGGTATATATATATATATATATATATATATATACCTATATATACATATACATATATATATATATATATATATGTATATGTATGTATGTATGTATATATATATACAGTTACCACTATGATTATTAGGTGTTATCATTCTGTCTCTCTTCAACAATACCTTTACGGGGTAAGCAGAGAGAACCGAGTACCAGAAGTTGTTACTAGTACAGACCAAAATGAAATGTTTCAGATTATTACATTTCTTGCTTCATCTAAGTATATTTATAACTCTTTGTTTATTTTATTTCAATATATCTATCGCTTTAGTTTGAGATAGGTACATAGATAAAATGCCTATCGACAATAACAATGTGACAGAACTCATTACGCTATTACTTCTGGGAACTAATAAACACTTGAATCACTTTAGTGGAAGTACTTTGATAGTTCTTTTTTTTTGATGGGTGAAAATGGTATGGTAACCCGGCCTGCGCTAACGGGATACACTGGCGAAGCATCAGTGAAAGGTGATAGAAGAGAATGAAAATAGGCCATTTAGCCCATCATGATGAATTCGTCAATAATTAACCATTGATTTGATAGTTTCCAGGGAGAACCGCGAAGAGGTCGACCTGGTTGCGTATATTGCTAGCAATGGGATTCTTAGTCTCCATTACTAACAATCCCTTTCCTTCCATACTTTGACAGTATGATGACATTTAATAAAGTATATTAACAATAAATACATATTAAGTGCCAATATTATCTATTTTCATGTACCTTGTCTTGGTAATTCGTTATGGACTCCGCGTTACGCCTAGCGCGGGGTCCAATGCACTCACATTGTAAATTTCTTGTGTTTTATATATACCTATTTTTGTTATTAAAAATACAACTAAGTAACATTATAGGATTCGAAAATATATAAATAAATAACAAGAAATTTATAATTATCGAGCTTTATACAGATATGTATAACGATAATTTTATGAATTTACTATGTTTATGTCGTTTGCGATAGAATTTTTATGTTTATGTCGTTTATCGCGTTTTCTTATTAATTGAATAGTTTTTCGAGTTAAGTGATTTTGGCCAAATGTAAAAGAATTTTGTGTTGAGTACGCCAAATGGGTATATGATTACACTTTATATATATATATATATATATATATATATATATATATATATATATATATATATATATATATATATATATATAATTTTTTATTAATTTTACAATATGAATATAAATAATTATAAACTACAGATAACTATATAATACTAATAACAATTACGATATTAATAGATACACACTAATACTTAAATAATGAATAATAATAATAAGAAAATACGTACTTATCGTGATACACTATTTCGAAAGTGAAAAAAGTGTTGTCCTCCTCAGTCCTCAGTCCTCCTGTGTTGTTGTGTGTTGTACTTGCTGTGCCCAACAGGGTCCATAATTGAAACCTTATATATATATAATACAAGTGGTAATACAATGGTATGGTAACTCCGCCTGCGCTAACGGGATACGCTGGCGGAGCACCAGTAAAGGGTGATAGATGAGAATGAAAACAGGCCAGTTGGCTGATCATGATAAATTCATCAGGAATTAACCATGATAGTTTCCAGGGAGAACCGCGAGGAGGTCAACCTAGTTGGGTATATTGCTAGCAATGGGATTCTCAGTCTCCATTACTAACAATCCCTTTCCCCGTCCGTACGTCCTATTTAGTAAAATATTTTATAAAGCCCTTGATAAGAATAATGTTTTTAATAGATGATAATTAAATGATTACCCACTGGCGGGGAACAATGAAGGATGATAAGTGAGAATGAAAAGGCAGGTTAGTTAGGATATCGTGATGAATACACCTGGAATTCAGCTCGATGGTTTCCAGGGGGACCACGGGAAGGTCAACCTGATAGGGTATATTATTACCCACAATCCCTTCCCCCAGATATATGACATTAATAAGTTTTTTTAAACCACTGAGGTGGCAAACAAGCATACGGCACACCTGATGGTAAGCGGTTACCGTAGCCTATGAACGCCTGCAATACCAGAGATATTACGCGCGCGTTGCCGACCTTGAAGAAACCTCTTTACTCCCCTTTTGAAGAACCCCATGTTGTAGTCTCTTGGAAAAACTTCGGCAGGGAGCTCATTCCATAACCTGAGTGTTCGTGGGAGAAAACATCTCTGAAACCGCGTTGTACGCGACCATTTAAGCTGTAGGGTATGAGGGTGAACTCCCTGTCGATGGCGAGCCGTACGATGATAGAAAGTGGCCTCAGGCATCATATTGATACTGTGGGTTAATATATATACATATAGGGCTCTTATAGGGAGAGACTCATATCAACACAGTATATAGATACTTAATTTATGTAAAAATCTTATGAGAAATAAATACTTTAATATATGTATAATACATAAGGTGATCGCCCCTTTGATTGTAAGTGGTAACAATCACTTAGGTATATAGACAAAAAAATTATGTGAATATGTTTATAAAAAGAATACCAGTAAATCAATAGGATGCATCGTTTTTTGTTTACGCTATGCGTTGACTGATACGGCTTTTCAATGAGATGAGCGGTAGTAGACTTTAATGTACCTAATCCTTCTAAGGTTTATTTTTTTTTCTGGTGGGTGAAAATGGTATGGTAACCCACCCCGCCTGCGCTAACGGCATACGCTGGCGGAGCACCAGTGAAGGGTAATAGATGAGAATGAAAACAGGCCAGTTAGCCCATCATAATGAATTCATCAGGAATCAACCATGATAGTTTTTCCAGGGAGAACCGCGAGGAGGTCGATCTGGTTGGGTATATTGCTAGCAATGGGATTCTCAGTCGACATTACTAACAATCCCTTTCCCCCCTCCTTCTAGGGTTGGCAGAAAAATATCAAGAGATATAGAAGATTTATATTTAGAGTATTATAGGAAACAATATTATATACTGGTAGTGTAGTGCTAAAAGGATACCTCACTTTTTAATATGTACCTGTTGTCGTAATGTATACCTACAGTCGTAATTTCTAGTTCGATTTTTTATGTAGTGATAAGAGATAATAATATGTATAATTAAACATTCAAAAAGGGATTGTTAGTAATGGGGTCTAACAGCCCCATTGCTAGCAATATACCTTATCAGGCCGAGCTCTTCGCGGTTCCCCCTGGAAACCATCGTGGTTAATCCTTAATTCATCACTATGGGCTAACTGACTTGCTTTCATTCTCACCATTATCTCACACTAGTGCTTCACCAGCATATACCGATAGCGCAGGCGGGGTTACTGTTCTATTCTCACCCATTAAAAAAACACAGATGGTACCTGATCTCAAGGTAAGGGTTTTAGAAATCTTTTTTATTGCTATGTTCGCCTATTCAGTTCGGTGAAAACTACTAGACCGATTTCCAGTTTAAAATGTGGATTTAGAGTAGATGGCTTGTACAAAAGTCGATTGCTTGAGTACCTCTGTCCCATTCGTGTTCAACCGTGAAGCAGTTGTGTTTGCATGGCTGTGTTTTGGTTTGAAGGGTGGGATATGGCGTGAATTTACTGGGTACAGAGGAATAACACCTGAGTCCTCAGGAATGGCAACGCATGGGGGGTATCATGGGCGAAACAGTATACTCTGTTATGACCATGCTACTGCTCATGTCTGTAAGCGACGGTTACCACTTTCCATCAGGTGGACCGTCAGCTAGTTTGCCATTCTAAGTCGTATAAAAAAAAATTAAAAATATGTACCATATTTTATTGGATGATAATGAAATGGTAAACCTGCCTGCGCTAACAGTGTACACGGGCAAGGCACCAGTGAGGATGAAAAGGCAGGTCAGTTAACCCACCGTGGTGAATACACTTGAAATTTAGCACGATGGTTTCCAGGGGGGACCTTTATACGGAAATATTGCTAGCAATGGGACTTATAATCCGTATTACTATCAATTCTTTCCTCCCCAGAAATAGATATTAGAATAGGTAATGTTTATACTAGCGGACTCGGTTGCGACTTTGTCTACTTACCTACGATGTTTGGAGTATTATAGCTTTCAGTAAGTTCTTTGTAGTTTCGCCAAAACCAACCCGTTTTTCGGTCGCGGTTTATTATTTTAACTTTTCCTCTTTATTACTTTAAAATAGAGATATCATCTATTAATATCACACTAATTATAAAAGTTAAATAAAGGGGTTTAATATTTATTTGTTTTCTTTGATGTTTTGTTAGACAATAACGCTTTTATGGCTGAACGGATTTGCATGAAATTTAGTACATAGATAGATTATATATCTTACATTGAGACATAAGATATATATTTCGGTATAACCATGGGATACAGCTAGCCTTTTATAATATAAAGTATTTGTACCTCTACTATAGAATCTCCTCACCGATCCATAAAAGGCAAATCACCAATGAATTGACTCACATTACCCGAAAATACACAAACCAGGTGATGAACACAAGCAGTACATAATTCAAATGAAAATAAATAGATTGGGAGCGTACCTCTTTGGATTGGGCGGGGGGCGTAGCCGAGGCGTGTGCGCATGTCGACACACGCCGACGACAGAAACGTTCGACTCGCGCCGTGTACCACGCGTGTTTGATTAACGCGGAGAAAACTGATTTATTGTGTCGCGTTGAAAAAATAATCGGCGCTGAAGATATGTTGTGATGGAGGGACAGGAGTGGCGGGGCGAGTGGCAACAGCCGCGATTAGACGGTTAGTGGCACTAGTGTTAAGCAATTCAGGTACCCACGGTGACGTCTGTGACTTTAAAGTGACGTCATTACTTGGTCATTTTACGGTCGCGACCTTAAGAGAATATATATATATATATATATATTCTTTATTGCACAAAAACATACAGTAACAACAATAAGTTAATAACAATGTTAGCAAAGGCGGACTTATCTCTAAAAGAGATTTCTTCCAGTCAACCTAACGCAGTGGCATAGGAAGTAGTGAGAATCTCATTTTTTAACCGTTTTAAAGTCGCAATCTTAAAGAGATCTCATTCATTAATTACTTTACGATTACGACCCAAAGAAGATCTATTTTTCTTAGTTACTTTATTGTCATACCCCAAGAGAAACGTCATTTTTCGGTCGTATTATAAAATGACTAAAGTTTAACGTCTTTCTAGATACGTCACAATGCTATTTAGAATCTAACTAAGGATAAATTCGTAATGATAATCATCTGCCAGCACGTTGAGGCATCTGTCGACGTCTCCGGTCCATTGTGGTCCTAGATGGGTTTTTGCGTTTATAATTTGATTTATTTGTTATTGTTCAGTGTGAGATCAGAGTTATACGTATCTAAACGTTATTAAAAATACCATGTACTTATATGCGTAGCAATCTATGCATATAGATACATGATATTATGAATATATATATATTTGAACGCAATTGTTTATAGGCAGTAAAAACAGTTTTTTTATTAAGTAGTTATTAAATCTATCACACAAGTATATTCGTATGTGGTATTAAAAATTACATAATGTCACAATCTCTAAATATGAAAACAATATTGCAACATAGATGTTGAATAATTAACTATATAACCTTATTTTATTTTATCTTTATTTGGTCTCCTAGCAATTGTTACATTGATAAGATTTAATATTAAAATTACTGTCTATTTGTACTTAGTGTACAATCATTTTAAATTTTATTACTTAATATAATTTGAATAAACACCTATAACTACATTTCGTGAAAAATTACAGAAACATAGATATTATTACATACTTACTCGTACATACACTTGAATTACAATAATATTTAAATAAAAAAATAAATTTATTTAATTCATTATTTATATCTTATAATTAACTAATAGTAAAGCTGTAAATATGTATTATGATATCTTTTTTGGATACTTTTATTACCTATATATAGGTACACTCCCTTAGTTTCGTTTTCTATGAAGTAAATGGCTTCACAAATCTGTTAGAATACGGGGGGATTTGACAGTAGTTACCTCACTTGGTAGGCGGGTTGACAATCGCTTGGAAAAAGGATTTGGTGAAGTTTTAAGAGGGATGCTGTTGACCATTGCTCGACCTTTAAGTGCCCTAAGTCGCCTCTTATAATATCCACGAGAAAGGAAAGGAAACTTTAGATATATGTTTAGAGAAATAGCCCCTAGAAATAACCCCATCGTCTGAATATCCACAGTTTGTAAGTGAGCTACTTGTTCATAAGAGTGGGTAATAAAATATATAATAATATCTATATATCTTAGTTACGATACCTATACATTGGTTCAATAACGAATATATTAAAAGCATGTTATCTAAAAAATAATATTGGCTAACAGACTTTTGACATATTTGAAAATAGGTGAATGGCGTGAATTTACTGGGTACAGAGGAATAACACCTGAGTCCTCAGGAATGGCAACGCATAGGGGGTATCATGGGCGAAACAGTATACTCTGTTATGTCTATGGTACTGCTCATGTCTATAGGCGACGGTTACCACTTTCCATCAGGTGGACCGTCAGCTTGTTTGCCAATCTAAGTTGTATAAAAAAAAAGGTGATCCTTTTCTGCTATCAATGTCCAGAGGAACCCAATATATAGATATCAGATCGGTATCCATATAGCCCAGGTCTACTTGTTCATCTGTAAGACATCTATACTCGATCATTATCTGAAATGTACCCTATCAGTTAGTTGTATCTAGTTTGCGATCGGATTCCTTGCGTTCTTTCCGCGCGTCACGTTGATCGCCTTCATTCATCTATCCGTCGTCGATTCTGTCGCTGCGCATGCGTCGCTAGCTGTCGATTGATGCGCCAGTTGCGACTGCGCAACGTGACATCGCAACTCCGCTTGTCCGATTTTCAAACGAAATACATTGTACGGACTTTTTCAAACCGAATTAGTTTTTATTTTTTAATTTTGATTGATAATTATTTTTATTAAAGGGTTAGAAGAGGGACGTATTTCGACAGTACTATTTTTAATATAATTATGTATATTTCTTAATAATTTAGCTACTTGTAATTTTTTTTTATTTTAATTAACGTTATCTTTCAAGATCGTATGATATACTTAATCATTTATACAATTAATGTATTTTAAAAATAACAACATTATCATAAAATTTATATAAAATCAATAATTTCTGATGAAAATTCAATATAGAATTGCCAACAATATCCTGAAAAACAAACAAATAAATTTCGAACCTTGTCGAAGAAAATATTAATTAGATTTCTATTCATTTTGGAATAGACAGATAGAAAAAAATATACCAGTAAAATAGTAATAATTATTATAGCATATGTGTGTATATATATATTTATTTTTTGTTTTTATATGTATTTTTTATTACTTATTATTTTAACAGCTTTTTTCTCTACCGTCATCTATACTCTCTGCATTATCCATGCTTGAGAAGTAGAACATGTTTACATGGAGATAAATAAATAAAATAAATATATAATATATACATAAGACTTTGTTACGTAAACATTGACGTATATATGGACCTACTTTGTCAATGTAGCAAAACATCATGATTCATAAAGGCATTGACAAAAAGCACATAGATTGCAAAATATATTGCTTAGATAACGTAATTTTATACAGCATGTTACCCAACAAGTAAGCATCCAACAAGTAAGTCGAACAACATCGATAGGTAACTCATGAAACTAAATAATTTCCCTGAGAATTATTTTGTTTAATTTCATTACCATTAGTATGTGTAAATGTTGGTAGTCGCACGCATACTAATGGTAGGGGATTTTTTTTTGATGGGTGAAAATGGTATGGTAACCCCGCCTGCGCTAACGGAATACGCTGGCGGAGCACCAGTGAAGGGTGATAGATGAGAATGAAAACAGGCCAGTTAGCCCATCATGATGAATTCATCAGGAATTAACCATGATATGTATCCAGGGAGAACCGCGAGGAGGTCGACCTGGTTGGATATATTGCTAGCAATGGCATTCTCAGTCTCCATTACTAACAATCCCTTTCCTCCTTTGTAGGGGATTTAAACAATCATTCTATTATCAATTTCAAATAACACCTACATATAACAATAGTTTAGTAAAATTTTCCTGTAGAAAACATGAAAATATTTTATCTATCAATTAACGTTTATTATTCAAAAACGACCTCATTAGTGGCAAAACCTGTTATTTTGATTTCAAAACTAAACTATTGAAACAATTTTGATAATATTTATGTGAGACTAATCTGTAAGTATATCCTTTGAAATAAAAAAACTTACCAAATCGGTTTATAACTAACGGAATTATGAGGAAACAAATATTAAAAAAAAACATACAACCAAATTGAGTACCCCCTTTTTGAAGTCTGTTGAAAAAGGTGAAAGTGTCTACCATGGAATGTTTTCCGAAATTTCGGAGCCAAACGAAACAGAAATCTGATGTTATAATTACATAATATGCTTGGAAATATTAAAAATGTTAAATTATTGTTCCTTTGGACTTTTATGATAGGATGTATGACGAACGAAATGTTCCATTTATTGTTCCGATTTAAACAAAAATCCGTGTATAAACAAAAACACGAAATTGAGTCCGAAATTTCGGAATTTCATGTAATGGTAGACCCGCTGTTGGCTAGTAAGTAATAAAATATTCCATTTAATCTGAATTGAATTCTAAAACACATAAGAAACATCGAAAACAGCTGTAACAGTTACAAGAAGCCGTGTCAATGTAGATTAATGAGCGGCATCCAGGGTGGGCGACATTTTTTGTGGTAATTAGACGACGGACATGGAAAAAATAACTTGGACACTTGACTACACGTTGTGTAACAATTAGTTGAACATGTGAATTGTTTATTCTATTCTTTATATATTTATTATTTTTAGTTGAATTAACTAATTAAATTCAACCTGTACTTCAATCGTTTAAAGCGGAATAAGCTATTTTTAAAAGGATGTTAATTCGTTCGTTCTTTTTTGATATGTACATATGTTACGCGATATCTTTTATCTATCATAGTCAATTTTAAATACATTGTCAAAATACATATTAATTTTGACTCGATGGAAGTTGTTTTTTTTTTTCATTTGCGTGGTGAAATCTGAAATTATTTTTTGTATTATATTTTTTGTATTCACAAATTTTAATGATTATTTTTCGATTGTTATAGTTTATTTTCATGATAGAATAGTATAGGACTGTCGTAGGTCTTATTTCTACATATTTTATCCAAATTTTTTTTATTTAATATTGTCATTCTTTTCTCTACCCTTCACAATAATCACGATAGTGACAGAGCAAATATAGCGATCCGAATATGAATAACAATTTTATTTAAATGTGAAAGTTTATAAAGATGTTAGGAATTTTATTACGTTTTAATTCATCAATCAAATCATCACCTGATAAATCTAAATGAAATTTAATACATAGACAGATCATAATAATCCCAAATCAAGTAGGTAATAATAGAAAATAAAAAATAAATTTAAAAAAATCATTTACTATTCGGATATTCCCTCTATATACGTATAGGTATCTAAATGTTCTGATATATCCTTACATAGGTACCTATCTATATAACTGAGGACACGTAAGGTAAAATTCTTGAAAGTAATTCTTCATTTTGTGCATCACCGCATTTTATCAACAAAAACACGTGCAGTCTCCTGTCGAGTGTCGTTGCATGAGCAACTGCAAATTGTTTGAAAAAAAAAATTATGGCACCCTTAAGCATTTAG